CCCAAGCCCCTTTTCCTCTCCGAAGTCCCCAAAGCCATCCCCTTCTGCAGCAGTGAGAGGGCAAAGAGAGGAGGAAGGGGAATGTGGTGGCCAGGTCGGGTGTTACATACATTTTCACAGGTGCATTCTTCAAGCTTGAGAGGTACCAGGCGGGCCACCCCCTGTCCCAGGGCCTCCCGCCTCCGTTGGGCACAGAAGAGCCGCAGCTCGGCCAGCTCCTCCTCCGCAAGGGCCAGGCAGTAGCGCTCCTGCAGAAATAGGTGTCCACGGTAACTGGGAGAGCCCCAGCAGGCAAGATTGAAGTTTGACTGGAGAGAGGGGGTTTAGTTGTTTGGTCAAAGACTGTAAAACCTCAAGGAGCTGCAGGAAATAACAGCGCAGATGAGCACTGAGGAGATGGAAGAGAGGTGGAGTCCATTCACCTGTGTCTCATTTCCCCAAGGAATGGTGATCGCTCAGGTCCTGACGGCCCCATAGCACTTAGCCCATCTTCCTGTACTGGGTTGGCCAAAATGTTCATTCAGGATTTTCAGTAACATCGAATGGAAGAACCCAAATGGAATTTTTGGCCAACCCAGTATTTAGATCCTGGCTCCCAATGAGCTGTAGCTCAATATCACTTCCCACTGGATTTCCCCTATTCCATATTCTCTTGCCTCGCCTCCCCAGTTGAATTGTAAACCTTTAGGCTGGGCACACATAGGGGCCTCAATAAATACTTAACCACCATACGCTCTACATTTGTACATTCCATTATCAGGTTCAAAAGCTGGTCATGTTCATTTTCTCATTTGCTCTTCAGCTAAGCATGGTGGTGGGCAGAGCAGATGTCACTGCCCACATTATGTAGACCTGAAAGCTTAGGCCAGGGGTTGGGGGATGACTTCCCCCAATTAGTGGCATATCTTGGCCGTAAATTTGTGCCTCCCTCCCTTCTGTACCTCGCTTCTTCCCACAGTAAGTAAAGAGAGGGAGGCCAGAGAGAGGAAATCTGGGGAGAGGGAGGCCCACATCGCTGTCCTGTGGAGGGAGCTGCTGCAGGAGGCTCCGGAGCCCAGGCCAACTGGGGGCTGGGGTGGTGTCCAGGCCAGGGTGCCCCCAGCTCAGAACTTCAGGATCCTGAGGAAACACAGCAAAAGGAGAAGGGCAGAGCTTGGTTTGTCCTTGCCTCCCCTTCCGCCCTCCCTCCTTCATTGCCACCTCTTCATCAATCCGGAACAATATCCACCCTCTCCTGAATTTGGAGAATCTTCCTTCAAGATCACAAAGACAGTTGATCGATTCTCGTGTTTGTGGTCTTACTGAGGCAAGTTAGCGGGACACACCCCAAAACATCTTCCCTTCTTATGCTTGAAATCACCCCCTTCACTCCTTAGGGCCAAACCCCCTGGGTTCTGCTTTGCCAACATAAGCCCCATAGGAAAGAATTCATGTATACGTATGAATAAGTTTAAGGAAGTTGAAGAATTTCCTTGTGGTCCAGTGGTTAGGACTCTGCGCTTTCATTGCCAAGGTCCCGGGTTCAATCCCTGGTTGGGGAACTAAGATTCTACAAGCTGTACAGCACAACCAAATTGGAAAAAAAAAAATAAGATAGAGAAGTTGAACCCCTGTGTTCTGAGGGGGCTATAGGAACAGGGATTCCTGCAAAGGAAAAGGGCTGCAAGAAGCTGGGCACAAAGGCTAACTACCTCCCACTTAGTGGAAATGGGAAGAGGTCCAAAGGATGAAGTGGATGTCAATCTCAGAGGGAAGGGCAGGACTCCTCTCACCTGAGCAGAAGTCTCCTCAGGGTCCTCCTTGGGCATGTGGTCTGGGTTGCTGTCTGAGTTGACTGGTGGATTCAGCTCCGGAGAGGCCAACCTCTTTACTCGGTGGGGCCAGCCAGAATTCAGCAGTGACATTGGTGGTAAAGTCTGTACAGAAAACAGCAAGAGGCCTCCCATTTATTTGACCATAACAATGCGCTAGGCAGGCTAAGTGCTTTACAGGCATTATCTCCTTCAGTCCTCCCATCAACTACATGAGTTAGGTAGTATTCTGGTCACCATTTTACAGATGGCCCAACTGAGGCTCAGTAAGTGTAAGTGGTCTGCTCAAGGTCACAAAGCTAGTAAATGGCAGAGTCAGATCTTGAGGCCAAAGCTTTCAGCTCCAGAGTTTCTGAAGCTCCAATTCTAGGTCTCCCAGCATTGGGATGGAGGAAAGCAGAGGCCTGTAATGGAAGAGGGAGACAAGCCGCTTTCCCCGTGAGCCTTTGGGTGGACTGGCCCCTGTTCCCCACCTTCCCAGTCATAACTCCCACCGTTCCTCACTGGGCACTCAGCACCCAGGAAGCCTGCTTCCTCATCTCTTCCCACTTCTCCCGCTGTAGGCTTCAGCCAGGTGAAAGAACCACTTCACCAGGAGACCCTTCTTAGCCTCTCCAGCCTATACCAGCTCACCTTCCCCTATGCTCCAGAAATAGGTACAGTGAGTGTCCCCAGATTTTTCACCTAATGTTCCTCTTTGCCCGCTGTGCCTCTCTCAGCTCCTCATCTGGTCTATCAGCTCTTCCAGGACATATGAAAATCCTATGCTTCTATCGTCTATCTCTAGTAGCAACTTCACTGGATAATTCTAAGTGCAATTCTTTAGCCTTCCTCTGGGTGAGCCCTGCTATGGCTACATTATCTTGGAGATGGGAGGTGACTACTGAAGTGGTAAAGGGATGAGCCCTGCCCACAACAAGCTCATCGTCTACTGGGTCAGTCATCGATGAAACCAGCCAGCATGGGGCCAGGATTCTGGGCAGATAGACACAGCATCCTAGGAAGAAAAAAAAAAAAAAACTTTTCTAGAATATTTACTCTGTGCCAGGGACTTTTCTGGGGCTTCCAAGGTGGTGCTACTGGTAAAGAGGCCCCTTGCCAATGCAGGAGTCAGAGGAGACTCAGGTCCAATCCCTGGGTGGGGAAGATCCCCTGGAGGAGGGCATGGCAACCCACTGAAGCGATTTAGCACCCACTGCATGCAGAGACTTTTCTAGCATGTTACATAATCCATCCTCACAACAATCCTGTGAAGTAGTTTCTATTATCCCATTTTGCGGTTGAAACAAACTGAGGTTAACTAACTTGCCTGAGAAGTTAGTTACATTAGAAATTAGTCACATGAGAAGGCTAAGGGAAGCTTTAGAGGAGGAAGTTGCCTTTGAGAGCTGGGATGGCAGCAGGGCACCAGAGGGGATCATCAAATCCCTAGCCTCCGTAAGACCCAGTTTTAGGGCTGGGTGCAGGATTTGGACCATAAACATTCTATGGCTTCCCGGCCCCGAGCCCTCCCGTCTGCCACCCTCCCCAGCTTCCTGGCCCCACACCCATCTGTTCCCTTCCTGTTCTGTCCCCCAGGTCAGCTTTCCTGTGGAAAACAGTCGGGATGGGCTGTTCACACTCAGGGCCAGGAGGGGACTGAGACCCTCTTTTCCAGGTTCTAGTTTGCATGAAATCGTCTCACACAGGACCAACGCTCAGAAATCAGTCCTCACGCCTCACCCTCAGTCCCCACCCCAGGACTGCAGAACTCCACGTTCACTTAGCACTGGACTCCATCTTACTAACATGCTAGATTCCTTCCAGAATTCTCCTCCCCCCCCCTTACAAATAAGACAAGACTGAACCCCCTCCCCGTCGGGCGCAGGTGTAAACGGGCTCAGGAGTTCTACTTCCCTGAAGGGCAGAGGCTAGGGATTGGGAAATTGGGGGGTGGGGTGTAAGGGATGAAAGATTTCCCCGGACAGTGAGAGGAAGAAAGGTTCTGGTCCTGCCAAATGCCATCTTGACAGACCCCTAAGTTTTTTCTTGGATTTCTCGGGGCCCACCTCCGAAGCGGGACGCGGTGTGGTTCCCGTCAGTTGGGGTTCCCAGTCCGGCTGCTTAAGTTTAGGAGAGGGGACGGGACTCCGCTGGGGTCTCACCCTTGCTGAGCGCTGGTGTCTGGGCGGTTCAGGACAGACGCCGCTGTCGGGCCCCTCACCCAGTCTCCACCTCCAGATCTAGGCGCTCGCCTCTGCCCGCCCCTGGGAGCGCGGCGCTTCCTCTCCCAGCAAACCCTCCCCGCCCCGCGGGCCCCATCCGCCTCTCCGGGGCTGGTAGGGCCCGACGGCTCAGGGAGGGGCCTAGAGCTGCCTAGTGAAGGAAAGCATTTGAGGGATCTCGGGTGAAAACGGTGCAGGCTCCACTGCCCCACGCCCGTGGGTTTAGACCGGGAACCGCATCTCTGCGGGCGCTGAGCAGACACCCAGGAGCCATCGTTATGCCGGGTCCTCAAGCACTCGATGAACAGAACACCTTTCTAAGCCTGCAGGTCCCCCCAGACCTTCCTTCTGGTCTCCTAGGCCCGCCCTTGTCTGTGTGTCCCCACCCCCACCTAGTTCCCTCCCCCTTGTCCCCAGCCCCTTTCTGGGGTCCCTTGTACTACCCTTCCCTGTTCCATCCCTTCAAGATCCTCCCCCATCTTTCGAGTTTCTCCCCGGTCCCGCCCCCGGCTCCGGTCCTTTTTCTTATCCTGGGAGTGGAAACCTTTGGTCCCACCTCTGGTCCCCTCAGCCCCGCCCCCGCCCCGCCCCCACGAGGCGAGCTCTGCCGCTGGCCCGGAGCGCCCTCTGGCGTCTGCGCATGCTCCCTGCTCCGTACTGCAAAGTCCTCCAAAGGGACCTTCTAGGCTGCGCGCCGGTCGCCCCCGATCGGGTCCGCCTGCCCGCAGCGTCTCGTTGGTGCAGCCGGTGACCTCCGACCCCGCCACCGCGGGGCGGGGAGGCCTTAGCTCCGGGCGGGCGGCGGCTGCTGCAGCGGGACCTCGATGTGAGTCGGGGTGCGGCGGGGCTGGGACGAGGCGGCTCCACCGAGGCCGCACCGCGCCTCGCCGCAGTCGCCGCTCCCTCCCGAGGAAGTACCGGGAGGGCGGACGGTGGAGCCCCGGGGTTGGGGGCGGGGATCTAGGGACTACGCGCGGCCCTGACCTCCCCTATTCCTTCCCGGCATCTAGAAATTCCCGGCAACTCTGTTACCTAAATCTGCCTCTAACCTCCCAGAACCACCCTATCCCCACCCCCGACACACCTTCGCGTGTCCTGGAGTCCCGAGAACCCCTGTCTCCTGCAAATTCCCCTGCTACGCCCCCAGAACGACCATTCTCTCTGGGATGAATCCAGATGCTTCCACCGTCCTGAAATTCTTCTGAGTCTTCATGCTCCTCCATTCTCCTTGCACCGTGCTCAAATCCAAAGCATTTCTCCTCCTTTCCCCAATCCATCTCACATGTTTTGAGCCGCCATAACCTCAAACTCCTACTCCCAGTCCACACCTGTCTCAGAGCAGAGCCTTCTCCTCCTGTCACCCGATGTCACCCCCTTAGCTGGGCTGTCATATGTCCTGGAATCTTTAAGAACAGTGAAGGAAACAGGAAAAGATGCAGCGTCCTCCCTCACCTTGCACCCTGCCGTTCTTGGCTTCACCCCCAGACTCCCTGTTGGTGGCTCAAGCCCCAGTATTTACCCAGCTGCGCGTCTTTACCCAGCTGTGCACATCTTCCTCAGCCTGCTGCCCCTTCCAGAGAGCAGGCCAGACAGAGGGCAGGGGTCCTTTTACCTGGAAAGTACCCAAAGATGCAGAGCACCTCGGGCCCTGGGAAATGACCTTGTTTTTCCAGAGCAGGAGGGTGGGATTTCAAGGATCTCCAGGGTCCTGGCTTGTTGACTTGTCCACCTAGGGCTCAGATTACTGAAATTTTGGTTGATAGCATTTGTGTTAAATTATAGGCCTTTTGGAGCTTGGAGAACAGAAAGTCTATCAAGGTTCCAAATGTGAGATTGAAGGAGCTTGTCCTAGAAGAGGAAAATGTTGATTTTAGTGGTGTTTGTCCTATGTACTTACTTCTAGAGGTGAAGCTTCATAGTTTACAGTTGTTTCCCGCAAAAACTGGAAAGCTGTTTCCCTTAAAGACTTTGGGGTGGGAGTTGTGGGTGGCGATGGAGGATTTGCTTGGCAGACTCTTTCTGATACTTAGCAGGAACATAAAAACTAGAATATTGGTTTCCTGAATCTTAAGCCATTGCTCTTTCCAATACATCTTCGTATCTTCTTGAGAGAGCTCTCTGTAGAGTTAAGTTCTCTGCAAAGGTAAGGTGATAATCTTGGTATTGGTTGTAACAGGATTCAGAGAGCGTCTAGAAGTGACTTAAAACGTTCTGGCCTCTCTCGGACTTCAAAGTCACTGTTTCCAGGGGAGTCTTTCCCTCTCAGGGCCTATGGGGCTTAGAATTTATGGTCCCTTTGGCCTTGATCTTTCTTCACTGGCATTTATATCCCATTAGAGCCTGGAATGGATATCCCGGTGGGATGGACTGACAGCAAGTCAGTTTCATTAACAATTGAGGGGTGAGGATAGAAATTTTCCACTAACCTGTGGTCTCTGTCTCCTATGCTAGGTGAGCCCCAGGTGTATCCCAGGGAGATCCAAGTGACTTCTCTGCAGACTGCTTGCCATGCCACCCCACCAAGAACAGGGGGAATAAAGTGGGGGTCCTTCCCCATGCCCCTCCCATGGTCAGCTCTCCGATGGCCTGGGTGAGGTGAGACCTGTGTATAGGAGCCACTTTTCTAGAATTTCCCAAGTTGGGAGGAATTGAGGGTGCAGGTCAGGATTGTTCAAGACTTTACACTTTGAATGGGAGTTCTAGAAGGTATCTAGTCCTACCGATTCGTTTCTTGCAGCAAGTTGCAAACCCATAATTTCTGGTTGGGATTGGTCCATGGGTTTGCTTGCTCCCTTAGGTCACTGTAGCCTGGTGATGTCATTTCCATTCTAGCCACAGGCCCAAATGTGGTGACGTCTAATTTGAGTGTTGTAATCTGAGAGGGAAAAACCAGATAGTAAGGCCTCTGGTCTCCCGTTTGGACAAAGGGGAGCAAACCGAGTGTTTGTTTTTTTAATGAAGAACTGCCTACTCAAGGTTATGAAAATAGTGGTCTATTTTCAATTTCTATCATCTGAATGTATCTCTTAACCATAACATAACATCTCATTTGAAGAGAACATCAAAAATAAATTTGAGATAGATGTTATAACCTCAGATATGCAGATGATGCCACCCTTATGGCAGAAAGTGAAGAGGAACTAAAGAGCCTCTTGATGAAAGTGAAAGAGGAGAGTGAAAAAGTTGGCTTAAAATTCAACATTCATAAAATGAAGATCATGGCATCCAGTCCTATCACTTCATGGCAAATAGATGGGGAAACAGTAAACCCAGTGACAGACTTTATTTTCTTGGGCTCCAAAATCACTGCAGATGGAGACTGCAGCCATGAAATTAAAAGACGCTTGCTCCTTGGAAGAAAAGCCATGACCAACCTAGACAGCATATTAAAAAGCAGAGACATTACTTTGTCAACAAAGGTCCATCTAGTCAAAGCTGTGCTTTTTCCAATAGTCATGTATGGATGTGAGAGTTGGATCGTAAAGAAAGCTGAGCACCGAAAAATTGATGCTTTTGAACTGTGGCGTTGGAGAAGACTCTTGAGAGTCCCTTGGACTGCAAGGAGATCAAACAAGTCAATCCTAAAGGATATCAACTCTGAATATTCATTGAAAGGACTGAAGCTGAAGCTCCAGTACTTTGGCCACCTGATGCAAAGAACTGATTCATTGGAAAAGACCCTGATGCTAGGAAAGATTGAAGGCAGGAAGAGAAGGGGATGACAGAAGATAAGATGGTTGGATGCTATCACTGACTCAATGGACATGAGTTTGAGCAAGCTCTGGGAGTTGGTGATGGACAAGAAAGCCTGGCATGCTGCAGTCCATGGGGTCGCAGAGAGTCAGACATGACTGAACAACTGAACTGAGATGTTGGGGTGGTAGTAAGAAAGGAAAAGAGAGGGTCTGAGTGAGGTGGGACAGGAGGAACAGGAGAAAGTTCCAGGCCAAAGTGTCTGGGACTCCCCACCTAGTTTCTTTGCTGAATCTGGAGGAGGTCCCCGGCTGGCACCCAGCTCCTGATGCAGATCCGTTCCTCTAGGTCCCTCCTTTCAGCCATGTTTTTTATGCTGCCCAGGCTGCCCTTCCCTCATATGTCAGTAAGAATCCTACATACTTCTCAAGGTCCAGGTCAAACGTTACCCCTGAGAAGATCTTTCCATCCCCCCATCAGCATTAATCCTTAACACATCCTAACTCAAGTTAATGTTTATCCAGTGTGTGTCTGGCCCTGGATTGAGAGTGTGAATTCCTTGAGGAAGGGACTGTGAGTCTTGGACAGAGTAGGTGATCACAGCAGGTTGGTTCTGCCAGAGTTCCCCAGAGCAGGGCTTTGGGGAGCTGGCTTTGATGATTTTACTGTCCTTTGTGTTTTTCCCTAGGGCAGGCAGGCTGCTCTGACACCATGGGGAGCTGCTGCAGCTGCCTGAACCGAGACAGCGTCTCAGACAACCACCCCACCAAGTTCAAGGTACCCACAGCCCCCTCCTTTCCCACATACCCAGAATGGCCTCCTGGGTTCTGCCCAAGCTGTCGAGTTGCCTGCCTAGAGAAGGTGGAATGACCTCCTGAGGCTGTGGGCTTTTTAAGATTTATTAAGAATTCTCAAGCTCAGGATCTCTGAGCAGGCCCAAGGAAAACAGGCTCAGTTCATTGCCGTTTTTGCAGCTCTTAGTCTTAACTAAGAATGAAGAAATGCTGAGAGTAGTAAAGATTGTGCTTTCAGCACGACGTTCACTCCTGTCAGTGTATCTTTAAACAACAAAAGTCTGCAATGTTAAGTTTGCTGCTTGCTTTGGGAGGCTGAGGCCAGGCCCAATGGACCTGTGTGCACCCCCTACTCCTTCCACTTCCTGTAGGGGGCGCCTCCTCCTCACCCCCGCATCTTGAAGCCCAGGTTTCTCTCGCTCACCAGAAGAGGGAGCCCTCAGCAAGGTCCTTCAGTTGGGGGAGAGGGTGGAGGCCTTTGTATTTGTTCTGCTTGGATTTGACTCTCCCCGGGTCTTACGATGCTAATTCACAATGAAACCTTTTCTCGCATTAACATATGGTCCTTGTATACTAGCCATGGACCATTTGGGGTCATCTAACCTTGGATGTCTAACTCTCTGACCTTAGGGGTCAACTCATTACCCCTCCCTGCACTGCCCAAATGACACAACTAAAGCCTAGAGAATTGTCTTGGGTCACTGACACTGCCTCATCCGTGCCCCAGTAATCGTGTGGCGTTGCTAGTGGCTCGCGGACCCAGACACACACTTGAGGGGCTCAGTCACTGACCCCTCTGTCCCTTGCCCCTGCCAGGTGACGAACGTGGATGATGAGGGCGTGGAGCTGGGCTCCGGAGTGATGGAGCTGACCCAGAGCGAGCTGGTGCTGCACCTGCATCGGCGCGAGGCTGTCCGCTGGCCTTACCTCTGCCTGCGGCGCTATGGCTACGACTCCAACCTCTTCTCTTTTGAGAGTGGCCGCCGGTGTCAGACTGGCCAGGGTGAGTACCAGCCCCTGCCCCACGCTGGGATGGGGACTTGTCCATGGGGAACAGGTTCTGTGGCCGGAAGTCGCAGCTGGAAGGTCAGTAGGGAAGTCTGTTGACTTGGCAGGTGTTGCCCAAAGAAGGGAAGGGTCATGGCCAAAGGCGCACAGAACTAAGTGGACTCCCAGGCCGGTGCTTCTTCAGTCACTGCGGCTCCAGCCTGGATGGCTTTGTGGGGGCATTTGTTGCACAACCCATGGGAAGCAGGCAGTGGTCCCAGGCAGTGCCTGCGTGGGAAAGCAAGCTCCTCCCTTTGTTACTCTAGTTTCAGGGTCCCTGTTGCCCCCTCAGTAAGAGCAAACAGCCCCACATCATATGCCCAGGTCCCTGTGTATAATGAAAGGTCAGGCAGGAGCACTCGCTGCCTTGGGCCTGTGTGGGGTGAGAATGATAAATTCGGAGGGGTCCACAGTGTACGGAGTAACCCTCACAAGGTTAATCTTTGTCTCCCGTCACCTGTGGGCAGTGGAGTGTGATATATTCAGCCTTCCTCCCCTTTCTCCCTGCAGCTGGAGGTCAGGGAGGAGTGGGTTGTTCCATGATGTTAAGTCTGGGGCCAGCCATTGCTCTTTGAAGGGCAGGCATGGTCTGGGCTTGTCTTTGAGCTGAGCTGCCAGAAGGAATCCCCCACGGGATTGTGTTCAGTGCAGTGTGGGGCTGTGATGGCAGTGATGGAACTAGCAAGCTCCTCCGACGAGGCCGCAAGCACAGCAGTGCGTCTCTGTGGCTGCATTGGCCGGGGGAGCCCTCCCCTCCATGCACCTTACTGTAGAACTCAAGAGGCAGAGGCAGTTAACGTTGGCTGAGCAGCGAGAGGGGAGGAAGGGGCCTCTCTGCTCCTGGTAGGGTTTAATCCAAACTGGGGATCTCAGAGGAGCACCATAGATCCCAACACAGGGTTCTTCTAAAACTCCAGTCGTTCTCAGCCTTTTCTAAGCCCTTGACATATCTTGTAATGAGATGTAATAGAATAGAATGAGGAAAGAATAGTCCTGTTTCTTCTCCTTCCTTCTACCCTTTTCATTCCATTCCTGCAGACCTGACACCCCAGCTTAGTTTGTCTTTGTGTGGATACCCACATGCACATCCCAATTAGCTTCCCTGAGTCCTGGTCCCCATTGTTACAAAGGAGGATGCAGAATCCCAGGCTGGCCCAACACCCCAAGGACATCTTTGGATTCCTTGAGTCATGCATCCTCAGTCCAATCCTGCTGAGGACCATGCGTTGCTGCCTTGGAGTTTGAGGGGCTGTAAGGGTACCCGCATGGAGGAGCCACAGTGGTTGCCATGCCATATTTGTCCTTTAGCTAGATGGCCCATCCTTCCTTTCTATACCAGAGTTCAAGCTCTGTGAAGTCAGAAGCCCATATACAGTAGTCACTCTCTGGCCAGGCACTGGGCTAAGTATACAGTGAACAGGACAGACCCTCCCACCCTCAAAGAGCTTAGAGACTGTTGGGCATAGAGCTGAGGGCTGGGGCCCTGGCAGAGCTCTTTTTTTCTGGGGAGCAAGGGGTAGCAGGTGAGGTGGAGGGTCACTCATCAGACACCATTCTTTCCACTTTGATTTTTTACTTCACTTTCCTTCACCCCTGTGGACATACATCCTTATGAAAATGATTTAATCTCAGAGAAATATAGTTGAAGTACCAGATCTTATGGCTCAGACAGTAAAGAATCCGCCTGCAATGTGGGAAACCTGGGTTCGATCCCTGGGTTGGGAAGATCCCCTGGAGGAGGCTATGGCAACCCAGTCCAGTATTCTTGCCTGGAGAATCCCCATGGACAGAGAGGCCTGGGGGGCTACAGTCCCTGGAGTCACAGAGTCGGACACAACTGAGGACTAAGCACAGCACACTAGATCTTAAGATGATGGTAATGGATGGTGTGTGTTGGGGGAGGGGAGTGAAGGCCTTGGGCCGGCTCCTCCCATGGCTCTTGGATGTTGGAGAGTGTGCAAAGAACAGTTGGTATGCTAACCCTAACCCCTCAGGCCTGGGACTGAAGTTCAGGGACATTTCCTGAACTCTGTGCATCCTTTAAGCCTCTCTGGTCCTCCCCTATAGGATGCAGGGTCAGAGGAGCCTCATTTCTTCTTCTCCTTCTTCAGGGATATTTGCATTTAAGTGCTCCAGGGCTGAGGAAATCTTCAACCTCCTCCAGGATCTGATGCAGTGCAACAGCATCAATGTGATGGAAGAGCCAGTCATCATCACCCGCAACAGCCACCCGGCTGAGCTTGACCTCCCTCGGGCCCCCCAGCCTCCCAATGGTGAGGAGACCCCTCTCCTCAGCACCCCAGTGCACACACAAGCATAGGTGCAGGGAGCGCTGGTCTTGGAGGCATGGGTCAGGCAGGCAGGTGGAGGGTGGCTGGGTGAGCCAGGCTTCCAGGACCATCATTCATCATTAGGCAACTCCCAGGGATGGAGAAGTCCTGGCCTGGACCAATCGGGTGACTCAAGCTGAGGTTGGGAAGTCCAGAGCCTTGTATTGACGGATGGTCGGGGAGCAGACAGGAAGACATTGGGTTTCCATGGAAACGGCAGTGTGGAGCCGTTTTGCTTCCTTCCTTCTGTCTCCTGGGTCATACCCATATACCTTTCCTGACAGCTGGTGCAGCATCTCTGCCCACGGCTGTCTGGAGAGGTTCCCACAATTTCTGCTTGTTCATTCACTGAATCACACCGAACACCTGCTCAGTGTCCTGCCCTCCATCGGCTGGCCTGTGAGGGACAGAAGAAATAGACACACAGTCCTTGATTTTGAGGAACTTCCCTGGAGCTCACTGGCAGAGCTGGAATGAAGTGTAGAGTCAGTTCAGTGACAGCAAGGTGTGCCTTAAGTGTTTCAGATAAGGCTGTGATGGGGGAAGTGGCGTTTAAGCTGAGCTTTCAGAAGAACGGCAGAAGTTGAAGATAAGACACAAGGTGAAGACAGTGGGGACTGCCAGTTCAGTGGGGTGGACCCGTGGGGACCCTGGGAGTGTCTCCCTGTGAGAGTCCCAGGCTGCCACACACACAGCTGCAGGTAGCTGCCAGGTGGTTTAAGGACCCCTTGTCCCCTGTGTGCCCAGCTCTAGGCTATACCGTCTCCAGCTTCTCCAATGGCTTCCCTGGCTGCCCAGGAGAGGGTCCCCGATTCTCAACACCCCGGCGCCCCTCAACGAGCAGCCTCCGACACCCCTCGCTTGGTGAAGAATCCACCCATGCCCTCATTGCCCCGGATGAGCAGGTGAGCAAGTCGCTGCCCAGGGTCTTCCTGTTGGTCTGGTGGGGGTGGAGGATGGGAAAAAACAGCACCTCCTCCCGGTGAGGCTCATGGGAGGGAAGAAAGTGGACAGGGCCCCTTCCTGTCCCAAGAAAAGGGAGTCGGCTTCCCTGAAAGGTTTGGAGGACAAGGAAGAGGAGACTGCAGCCCTTTTCCCACGTCCTTCTCTCATCCTGTCCCGTTCTGTGCTTCCTCCTTGCCCTTGGACTCTCCCGCCCTGGACTGTAACGCCCAGTCCCACACCTACGTCAACACGCCAGCCAGCGAAGAGGAGCAGCGCCGAAGCCGGCACTGCCTGCAGCCCCTGCCTGAGGGCCGGGCGCCCTTCGCGCCGCAGGCCCGGGGCCCCGACCAGCGGGACCCACAGGTGTTCCTGCAGCCGGGCCAGGTGAAGTTCGTGTTGGGCCCCACCCCGGCTCGGCGGCACATGACCAAGTGCCAAGGCCTCTGCCCGAGCCTGCAGGACGCCCCCCACCACAACAATAACAACGAGGGCCCTTCGGAGTGCCAGGCCCAGCCCAAGTGCACCTACGAGAACGTCAGCGGGGGGTTGCGGCCGGGCGCGGGCTGGAGACTGAGCCCGGAGGAGCCGGGCTGGAACGGCCTGGCCCAGCGCCGGGCTGCATTGCTGCACTATGAAAACCTGCCCTCCCTGCCCCCTGTGTGGGAGAGCCAGGCCCCGCAGCCAGGGGAGGAGGCCGGGGATGACGGAGACTCCAGGGACGGGCTCACCCCTTCCTCCAATGGCTTCCCGGAAGGCGAGGAGGACGAGACCCCACTGCAGAAGCCCACCAGCACCCGGGCGGCCCTCCGCAGTCACGGCAGCTTCCCGGTGCCGCTGACCCGGCGCCGAGGCTCCCCGAGGGTCTTCAACTTTGATTTCCGCCGGCCGGGCCCGGAGCCCCCAAGGCAGCTCAACTACATCCAGGTGGAGCTGAAGGGCTGGGGTGGAGACCGCCCCAAGGGGCCCCCGAACCCCTCCGCCCCCCGAGCCCCTGCTCCCACCACTCACCCGACCCGAAGCTCAGACTCCTACGCCGTGATCGACCTCAAAAAGACCGTGGCCATGTCCAACCTGCAGAGGGCGCTGCCCCGTGACGACGGGACCGCCCGGAAAACCCGGCACAACAGCACCGACCTGCCTCTGTAGGGGCGCCCCTCCTCCGCCCGGCCCAGCCTCCGCCTCCCGCTCCCGTGCCCCGAACCCCCACTCCGGGGTTCGGGGCTGCTTCGCAGAAGGGCACTGAGGTGGGCCAGATGCTTTCCCGCACTGGCCAGAGTCCCCAAAGATATCAGCCGCAGAGTCCCCCGGTGTCCGAGCTGGGGACAGGAGAGGGTGACCAGGCGAGGAGGGAGCCGCGGTGTAAACTGTGAAGGGCCCCCCGACGGCAATTAGCACCCTCCCGTTCTGTCATCTGTCGCGTCTGTCGTCTGTGTGTTTTTTTGGTTGAAATTTGGAAACATTTTGTACCTGTTGATTTTATTTATCAGTTTATTTTTCTATTTATTGTTTTAAATGTAATTTAACATATTTATTATTAATAAAATTATTTTTAAATTCTGACGTGGTGGATGACGTCACCTTTTTAGGGAAATTTTTTTTTCTGGCATGGTGCTTGGGTGGGAGTCCAGGAGGCCTCACAGAGGTAGGGTCTTCACTCTAGGGTGATTGTGGGTTTTGTGACAAGTAACAATCATTTCTTTTTCTCCTCTAAGAAGCCCTGGCCCGGAACTGAAAGTTGCCAGGGACAGCTGTTCCGTCAAAGTAAAGTGACAGGACAGCTGGGGTCCTTGATACCCAAAGGGGATCTGTAAGAAAAACTACCCTGACCCTCTGAGGTTGTAGTCGGTGGGAGTGGAATTGAGGGGTGGGGTGCTGCACCATATTCACCTTCTCTGGACTCCCTCACTGAGTCCCCCTTCTGCCCCCAGGTGGATCCGATTGGGTACTGCCCTCCTTTCCCACCTTGGCCCCAAGGGGGACCCGGGATCTTCCTTCAGCGCCATCCACTTGGCAGGGTCAAGACTAGAACCTTTAAACAGGACTTTACTAAAAACCCAGGAAAAGCAAAAAAAATTTAAAAGGAAAAAACAGTAATATAGAACTAAATAGTCAGACTTACAAAGTGTGACTTACCCAGGGAAGTCCTCCCTAGGAATGAGCTCTTTGGGGCATTTCTGACCGACTGCAGGGATGGGGCCCTCACAGAGCCAGCACATCCAAACTCCTGCCTGGGCCCCTCTGCCCGGGGCTGCACGCTCCCCCTGCCCGAGGCTGTGGTTGCGGAAGCTCCCTTTCCATATCCGGAGGCTGCCTCTTTCCTCTTCCTCCTCCCACCAGCCTCCCTGCCTCAAAATTTCCCTTTCTGGTTCAAACCCTTGAGTGGTTAATCTCCAGAAAATCCAGTGTCTCTAATGAGGCACTCAGGGCCCTGCGGAGGAGAGGGAGCAGGGTTTGTCCAAGCCTTGGGGACAAGCCTTCTTGTCTCTGGTCACTGTTTGTGCCCCAGCTCCTGCCCTGTGGAGTGAGCAGACCTGTCCTCCACACCAAGGAAAAAGGCCAGGGCGGGGCCCGCCCGCCTCCCTCCCCTGCTGCTGTTCAACCACTGCCCGGGGCCTCAGTTCTAGAAGTGCCCTTTTCCCGAGCAGGAATTAGACCAACCAGCTTCCAGAACCCCCTGACCTTGGGTGTCCCTCTCTGTGCATGAAATGGATAAAGAGAACTGGCCACAGAAGGCGTGAGAGGCCCTTCACCTGGGGCCCAGTAGGATCCCAGGGTGCGGCTGGCTCTGAACACTTCTTTACACCCTTTTGATCTCTGGACCGGAGGGCTCACCCACGGCAGGCTGGGTTTCATGCACTTTTCCCACACTGCAGTAGGGCAGTGCTGTCCTCTCTCTGCTGCTCACCCAGGCAGGCAGCTCAATTCTGCTTTCTCTGTGTCCTCCCACATGACCCCTGCTCCTCCTTTTGGCCTCCACAGTCAGGAGCAGTGGACCCTTCAAAGAGGATCACCAAGATTGGGGGGCAGACATGGCCATGCCAGGACCAGGCCTAGGGCCCCTTGCTGGGCTAGTGACTCATGAGTGTGCTCAGGCCCCTCCTTACTCGTGAACTCTGTCATGGGGGAGTCAGGAGCCTGGCTTGAGTCGAGGCTGCGTTCTGGTGCTGACTTGGCTGTCATCTCCACTCTTTTGAGCATTTGGTCACCCCAAGTAGGCCTTGGATTTGCCCTTGGAAAACACAGAGCTAATTGTGAGAAGTAGCTAATGAGATGATGAAAATAGCGCCGCTTTGGCAAGCAGAGCCACCTGGGCAGGCTCTTGCCCCAGCCACTCCCCAGGGAACAAAAACCACTGGCCGTCAACTCTTCAGCCCCAGAGACCGACCTCGGGCTTGCTGCTGCTCCTTTGCTGAACAGCTCACTCTCAGGGGTGGCCAGGTCTTGATCAGGCCCAGAGCTTCCCCCAGAGCAAGCTGTAATCACTCTAGTCTACATGTTTGTGGAGCATTGGGTGGGGGTCCAGGGCACATCCCAGGAATTGGCTCCCAGCCCAGTGTGGCCACCAAGCTTCCCTGTTCCCTCCCCAGGTCACTGCCCGTGACCCACGAGCCTGTGGCAGGAATTTTCCTCTGGTGTGGCAGGTGGGCTGTGAGTGGACAGCTTTCCTGGTGGGGAGGGGAAGGCTGGGGACGGAGTGATGCTCAGGAGGGCAACTGCAGCTCCTATGTCTGAGCCTACCCTGCCAGCGTTCAGGGCGTGGTGTGCGGACCGAATCCTTTTCCATTGCCATCATCATCCAACCATCTCTATCAACATGGTGAATGTTTGCTGACTGCTCAATTCTCTTCTTTAGAATCAGGCCCTACCCACCCTCCGGACTGCCCTCAGGAAAGGACAGGAGCCAGCATCCTGTCCAGGAGTGACATTTCTGGTCAGACCAGGAGGGGCCCTCCCGGAGCCCACCCCTGGGTAATAATAGCACTTGACAACGGTATAAACATGGGCGGCTTATAGACGATTTATCTCTTTCAGCTCCCTGGGCCGGATTGTTATCACTGCAGTGCAGAGGAGGAAACAGGTCAAGAGGTGAAGTGACTTGCCTGGGGCCGTGGAGTTAATTAGTGGCTTGAGCGGGGGCTGCCTGCCAGTCGTGTGTCTTTTCCAAGCCCTTCTCCCAACCTGGCCTGCAGGTGCTGAGTTTCCTCAGGTGGGCTGCGGGGCGAGCGTGTTGGGTGCTGCCCCAGACAGAAGCGGGCCAGGTGGTGGTGGGGGCCACATTCCAGTGTTCTCACTCAGGAATCCTTCTGGATTCCAAGCCAGGGCTTTGCCTGGCTGACAGCAAGGTGAACCTGCTTTCCCCTTGGGTTGGCCTGACGCCCACCCACAGATCCTGCCTCTCTATTCTTTTATATATTTAAATTTTAAAAAAGTGTTTTTTAATTTATTTTTCTGGTTATACCTTGAGGCATGTAAAACTTCCCGAACAGGGATCAAACCTATGTTCCCTCCAGTGACAATGCAGAGTCTTAACCACTGGACCACCAGGGAAGCCTTAATGCCCCTCACCTCTTTCAGTGCCTTAGAATGGCTCCCATTCTGTAGGTGAGTGTGCAGAAGGGGCTTGAACTCTCTCACCCCCACCGCCCTCTCCTCCAGGCATCTCAACCCCACAAGAGGCTTGTCAGGTCAGGCCAGGACTCCCCTGGGCTCTGGGGGTTCTCTGACCAACACCTTAAAGAGGACTCATACTCCCAGGTGAAGGAGGGTTTATAATGAGGGATCCCCGAGACTCCAGGAAGGCCATGGGCGGCTGAGGCCAGGTTGAGAGGGCCTGGGTGTACCCCTCAGGGTTCCATGTCTACAGAATCACAAAGTTAAGATGGAATCTTGTAGGTTGGCTAGGCTGGGACCCATCCGGTAGTCCCTTCGACAGGATTCCTCAGGATGCTTATCAGGTTTCTGTTGACACAGTCCCTGAATGGGGAGCTCACTGCTTCACAAGTCCTCTCTCCAGGCGGGTCTTAGGATGTCCCTAAACCATCCATCGCTAGGCCCTAATTCTGCTCACAGACCTACACACAGTTAAGGCTAGTCTCTCTGCTGCGGGAGCCTGAATTTTGAAACCTGGCCTTATTGCTTACTAACAACTTGACGTCTTCAGGCTTTGGTTTCCTCATCTGTGACATGGGGATTATAACAGTTCTTCCGTCTTGAAACTGTGAGGATCAGCGAATTCCCTGGTGGTCCAGTGGTTAGGACTCCACACTTTCACTGTCAAGGGTGTGGGTTCAATCCCTAGTCAGGGAACCAAGATCCCGCAAGGCATGCGGTACAGCCAAAAAGAAAGAAGGAAAGAAATTGTGAGGCTCAAACAGGAGACTGTCTTCCCAGCATGAGCTATGGCAGCTGGCCCCATAGTAAGGGCTCAGTAAATGGCAGATGTTTTCATCTGAACATGATTCTTTCTGGCATAACCAGAAAGGTGTCTTCTGCTCTGTCCAGCCCTTCGTGCCCTAGTTTGACCCAAAACTACTGAATGCAGGGCTCAGGACTGACCTGCACCTTCCTTCAGCCCAATGTCATTGTTGTTCCAGATGTTACACCTCTGCCTGAGTTTGCACTCACTCCATGGGTCCTTCTTCTTGGGACCTCAGAGCTGGCCTGACACCGGGTCTTTCCACACAAACATCAGCAGCTACCTTGATACTGGAGTCCTTGGTTTGTTAAATCAAAGTCCAGACCCTCCTGCTTATTCAGCTGACATCTCTTGTTGTCTGCCTGTGTCTGTCCTGGCATCTAGAGGCACCAGCCCTGGCAATGGACCTGGAGGTGATGGGAACCAGAGGTGAGGGGTGGGAGGGGATCTCCATGGGTGATGGATCACGAGGGGTCTCCACGGCATCTGGGGTTCTCAGCCTAACTCTTCTGGAAGCTTCACTCTTCCTGCCAGTGGTTGGTAGGAAGCGTTGACCCCACTTGCCTTGCTCACAGGTGGACCCCTCTCCTGGCTTCTCTGGGGATGGATATTCCCACCCCAGGGCCCCGTGGATGCTTGTGGACATCAAGATCCCGCAAGGCATGCGGTACAGCCAAAAAGAAAGAAGGAAAGAAATTGTGAGGCTCAAACAGGAGACTGTCTTCCCAGCATGAGCTGTGGCAGCTGGCCCCATAGTAAGGGCTCAGTAAATGGCAGATGTTTTCATCTGAACATGATTCTTTCTGGTATAACCAGAAAGGTGTCTTCTACTCTGTCCAGCCCTTCGTGCCCTAGTTTGACCCAAAACTACTGAATGCAGGGCTCAGGACTGACCTGCACCTTCCTTCAGCCCGATGTCATTGTTGTTCCAGATGTTACACCTCTGCCTGAGTTTGCACTCACTCCATGGGTCCTTCTTCTTCTTGGGACCTCAGAGCTGGCCTGACACTGGGTCTTTCCACACAAACCTTAGCAGCTACCTTGATACTGGAGTCCTTGCTTTGTTAAATCAAAGTCCAGACCCTCCTGCTTATTCGGCTGACATCTCTTGTTGTCTGCCTGTGTCTGTCCTGGCATCTAGAAG